AGATTAATTTATTAAACTAACTCTAGAATTGTAATACATGTTATCGTTATCAGATTGATATAAGAAAATAAATACTATTATCTACAAATATATATGAACTTCTAAATATACTGCCGAAATATAAAATATATAATGTGGATCCAATGGATGTGAAATAATTCAGACCTCACTGACTAAACTGCCATCACTAATATAAGTTAACTGATTCAACAACAATGTTGACACATGTAGGAATATTCAGGCCCTTAATATTTAATAGAAGGAAAGGCAATCCTACTATAAACTGTAAATTATCCATTTTACCTCATTTTACTTAGTAGTTACTAATGTTTGTATGAGCACAACATATAATACTTAAAATTAACAAACAATAATATTTTTTTTCCCAAATCTCCTACCTTGATGACAAATTTAGGGCACAATCCCTCTTACTTTGACATGAATGAATCAAACCAGAGAAAAATCTGTGGGAATATCCAGTACCACCAAAATTCGACTTTAAAATATTGTGGTGTACGAGTATAAAGATACTGAAGAAGCTATAAAAACAACAAATATTGCTCAGCCTTTATTGCAATACAGGGAATATAGCATATTTCACAGCATCAAAGGAACTTCTAAATCTGAATATATATCCTGCTATGTATAATCTAGATTCATATTTCTTTCTATTAACAAGAATAATATTTAGTTAAAAACTGTAGTGTGCTATAATTGGATATAACTTAAAGTGTTTCTAAGTAATTGTGAAGTTCTAATATAGAATTTCAGACAACTATGAAAGTTAAATCTTACATTAAATGCTTACTTCTTAAAATTCTCTAGATTCTCTAAGCCAGACTATAAAACAAAACACAGATATAATGAAAAAAAAAAAAGCCCAAACTGTTTCAGGACCAAACTTTGTTTTGATCACATGATGTTAAACTAGTGCTACATGTTTTATGCAAGTTTTAAAAAATGTATGCATGTGAAATATGAATTCATAAGTCAGTAATCCATTCTGAGAATAACATTTTGGCTCTCTAAAATTTCCCAGGCTATTCATTAATACACCTTACTAACAGTATATAAAAGCTTTTGAAGAAAACATTTATTGAATATCAGCAAGAATTGTGCTAAGAAGTAAGGATAAGAGATGAACATACATAGATTATAACCTAGTAGAGCGGCAAATAAGCAGGGAAGTCTTCAGTTCTGTGGGGTAAATCCTGGGATAGAGGTAAATACCAAGGTGCATGGAAGCTACCTGTAAACACCCCTGACCCAGCATGGCCGACAGCATGGGGAAGAAGGCGGCAATTTCAGAGGCTTGCTCAGAGAGAGTGATACCCATACTGAGTCTTCAAGATTTACAAGTTATCCAAGTGGGGAAGAGGCTATAACACTAGCAAAAGCATAGAGGTCTCAGAGAACCTGTGAGATTCAGGGAACCAAAAGAAGCCAGAAATAAAACTGGAGAGATACAGGTAAGCAATTAGGTCTGTGCACTTTACACACACTTGGGACTGACTCTCCTGAGGGCAAAAAAGGATCTGGGAAAGATATGAAGCAGGGCAGTGATATGATCAGGTATGTATTTTAGAAAGATCACTCTAAAAGTAACTGAAAGCAGAAAAACATAGCTAAGAGATAAAATCAAGATCCAAAACAAAGAGCTGGAGCAAAAAGAACAGTTTTGAGAGATAATAAACATCAAGAATGGACAGGGCTTTATGGGGATGACCACGAAAAGGATGACCACCTGCTTTCTGACTTAACCTACTCAAGCTGATGGTGGGAAGTACTGAAACAGGGGAGAAAGGGAGAAAAATTGAGGGGCAAGCTGCTGAGTTCCGTTTATCTGCTGAGTTCGTAGACCTATGTACTTCTAGGCAGGAATGTTGCCAGAAGATAGGTGGATATACAAGAATAGAATGGATGCATACTCATTAAAGACCATCTGAATATATCAGGTAATTGTAATAGCAGCTAACATTTACAGAGTTTTTACTCTAAGTAAGGCATGTGCTAAGCTGTTCATATCACTTCTTTTTATTATCCTCCCCATTCTAAAGATGAGGAAGCATTTAAGTAATCTGCCAGTGATTACAAAGTGTTTAAGTTTCAGGGATGTCTTAACTTCAGAGTTCAAGCCCTTACCCATTATACTACGAGAATGTTGTATCATGCAAAATCCATTATAGGTTTTAGGAACAGATAAAAGTGGGTTCAATTCTAATCTCTGCTACTTAAAAGATGTTCAACCTTGATACTCTCTAAACCACAGTTTTCTTATCTTTAAAAGGTTGACCATAATAATGATACTGCAAGGCTATAATAAGGATTGGAGAGGGCATCAAAAACTGCTAGATGGAGTGTACATGGGCAATAAATAACACCTATAGTTATGTCTATGCCTAGAGAAAGAATTCTTCTTGAAGTAAAACAGCTATGATCTAAATAAATTCTTTCATCTTAATATGAACCTTCTTTTAATCCTATCCTCTTTGTTCTATCTTAATAAACACTAAGGATCATTTTTTGAAAAGTTTTGAGACATTAATATACTCTGCAAGATTTATTATAGTTTAAAGATTTCATCCCAATAGAAATCATTTCAATGTAAAGGGGGTTGATTCTGACTTTTGTGACATTTCTGTGGGGATGAATGTCAAAACAAGAAAACCCAAAAGCGATAAGGCGTGTTGATGTTATGAAGAGAGCTTTGGACTTGGAGTCAGAAGACCTGTATAAAGTCCCAACTCTGACACTTACCAGCCATGCAAACGTGGGCAAGTCATTTAACAGTCCCAAGCATCCCTTTGTATGTGTACAAGATGGAGATTGGTCTATACTGTCTTCTAGTCTATTGATGTTGAAGAAGGAAGAATGATTTACGATGTTTAGAAAATTAAAGCCATCAATGAACCCTTGACACAAACTTCAAGTTTCCTGTGGTTTAAACCAGAAGCACCCACTCTTGATGGCCTATAAAATCACTCCACAGATCAGCAGCTTTCAATTTGACTGACCAGATCCTAACCCTCAGGCAGAGAGTTGAATGTGTGGGAGGGGAAAACGAAAGAGACAGTGAAGAGCATTATTTTCTTCTTTCTTCCATTCTCACCACAAATTCAGCAGCTGGGTTCAAGCTAAGGGGCCAGAAGGTCACCCTAGATTTCTGGTTCTCAAGCCCAGCTTCACATTAGCAATACCAGGAACTTCAAAAAAAATTTTTTTTAATAGTGAGCTCCACAACCCTAAGATATCAAGGGGAGGAAACATATGATATGCAAGTGCTGGGTTTCATTTTGTAAAAGGTGGTATGAAGCACCTTGGGTAATAATCTCACTCCAAGGTTAAATATAAAAACATATTGTCTCTAACCTCCACTGTATTGAAAAAAAAAATTTGTTCTTGGGTATACACACACCCTAACGGAGATTAACTGGATCAAACATCCTGGTTCGTGGGAACTCCACCGGCTTGAGCTCTGAAAGTTCCATGTTCTGGGGAACCCTTGGGTCTCTGGAAAACAGAGACAGTGGATCAATCTAACACACACACATGCACACATGTGTACATGCATGCACACATGTACACACACACAGACTTTTAAGTAACCCGTAGTATGTCAGAACCAAGTATAGATCAATGGTAGCCCTCTCACAAAGCAGCATCACAAAGATGACATCATCAGTCACTCAGATATGTACGTGGCCACACTTAGAGACCTCTGACAACACCGGGACCCAGGAACATGCAATGGCATGGCTGACATATCATCATGCTGATTCTTGTCCATTTTTTTAGAGTCCACACTAGAAATATATAGGTTCAATAAAAAGCATTAAAAAAATAAAAACTACTTTGAAGCCCCTGCCTCCCAATTGCCACTTGTGTCTACTTTTCTAAAAAGTAAGACAATTTTTGAGGAATAACATCTCTACCATTTGACAGATTTTTTAGAAGTTTTATGACTTTGTAATTTTTTTGTTCCATTTTTCCGGCACTGATTCCATGTGAAATTACATACTAGTAGAACATATAATTAAATCAGACAATGGTCATATCTGTATGTAAATGAAAGACTTGATTATCATTCCTTTTAAATGAAATACTTACTAGAAAAAAATGTGGAATGGCATGTATACACTGGAATACATATTCTTCTGTATTTTAAAATTGAACCCATCATAGAAATTTTTTCTAGAACCATCATTATAATATACAAACACACTGCCCTCTGTCGCCTGACAGAAACATTAGACTCCAAGACCAAATCACGATCACACCAGCTAATAAAGAATAGCATCAGTCTGCATAACACACACTTGGTAGGTACACATCTCCTTACTTGTGATATCACTAGCTGTCTTTGTGCAGAAACTGGCAATAGTGTGGGAGTGTGGGGTAGACCTTTCACTGATTCCAGTTCCATAAACCAAAGAACTAGTGCCATGGAGACGCTATTAATGAGTTAGGAGGAAAGGCTACATATAAATTCTGCCCCTTTGAGAAATCAGAGTCTTAGAACAATGGCCACGGATCTTATGTATTCTTCACTCTGCAAAGAGTTTAACAAAATACGGCAAGCCCTTGAGGACTGTGGTTGCCGTCCTTGAAATGAACAATAGACTTGCTACTAATATACTTTCTCTGTTTATGCTTCTGACATTCAGCAATATATGCACTACCGAAGCACACTTAGAATCAGACCAATAAAGGAGGTGTGTAAAAGTGTTTACTGTCTACAACACTCAGCATGATTTCAATGCCCTAGTCTTTCTGCCAGTGGCTTTCCAAGTTGACAATTGAGGGAGACCTCAAAACATGACATCATTAGGCAGGAACAGCATAAATTCCCCAAGGTCTATTTTATGGTCTTGAAAAAGAATTCCAAAATCAACTAAAATATATGTTTAAAAAAAACTTGTTTTTTACAGTATCCCTTTTAGTATGATTTGAGTAGTTTTACCACAACATTTTTCAGCAAACTTGCGATTGAATTGACTTACTGATTGTTCATTTAAATCCTGGGAGTCTTCCATGTGGTTCTCTCACTTCTCCTGCCACTCCCAAGTAGAAGCAGCTTCCTTCAATTAAAAATGAACTGTCTAAAACAAAAAGATGGAAACAAAGGGGGAAAATTAAAAAAGTTATCTTTTTTGTTTATTTGTAAATTTACCACAGTTGGTAATCTGTAGAATTATTTCTAAAGAACAAAATTCATTAATATTGTCCCCGTATCTGATAGAAATAATGATCTTGAAAGACACTTCGTGGTAAAATTGGGATTTGTGAACAGCTACTCAGGAATCCTACAGATAAACAAGAACATCTGAGGACTACTTCGGAGACAGTCTGAATAAACACTTAATACATTACTTTGCTGAGAGAGGTCTGTCATTAAACAGTTGATGGATTAAAAGTTAAGAGACTACATTAACTTTTCACTTTCTAAAATATAGTGTGTATTTTAATATGACAGCTTTCTATTACAGGACAATTTGTATGAATTAACTGATGATCAAGATTCAGTTCAAAAGAATATATTATTATAAAATACATTCCCACTTTTAAAGAGAATCAAAATAAGACCAATGATAAAGAAAGAAAGTATCAGAAATACATATGGGAAGAAAAAACTGGTCAATTAACTATGGTGAGACAGTTAACTCTTCAAAAAAAGTTAGTCTTTTCTCCATACCATACATTGAAAAAATTTCCCGGCAAACTGAAGTTTGAAAAAGCTCAAAGCAAAAATAGGATATATATTTTTTAAATTTCCAGATAGCGAAAGATTTTATAATAGGAGCAATGGAATATAACACAAAAAAAGCCAGACACCCCCTTGAATCCACACACACACACACACACACACACACACGAAAAAATTAATAAGAATCAAAATTAAAAGGTATATGAAAATATCCCCTGGTGACCAGCACCACTGTGGCTGTGATGTACACCATGGTATGGGATATGGTGCACACCATGGTAAGGGCGGGCCACTGGTCCAACTGATGCTGACCTGCTATGACTCCACACCTGCCTGCCCCTCTAGCCCTTCCTCTATCCTCCCGGATGGAATTGTGGCCAATTGTCTCCCTTAGAGCCATTGTCTCCTCGCTTCTGGAAAACAAATTAGCTAAGTGCTCTCTTGAAGCAGAGACTCTGATGTTCCTTTTTGTGCTAACAGATAAATGAGTAAGATGGATGGTAAAAACACTGTACCAGATTACGAAGGGAAGGGACACTAGATGCTGCTCCATAAAAACAACACAAAACTTTGCATTTCTGAACAGAGAAAAACAGCCCTGAAGTAAAAGGGCAGAGTACAGAAAATATTTTCAGTAAATATTATAAGTGTGACACTGAGAACAAAGACATTGGCAAGAAAAAGTGTAAGTGCCTATTAGATGATTAAGCAAGGATATGAGAACACAAATCATTACAAACAAATGTAAATAAATAAACATATGGAAAGTGTTCACTTTCACAGTTGCCAAAATATGTAAACTTAATAAACAAGTATACTAATGCCCATTGTCAGAAAGCATACGGTGCAAATGGTGTCTGCACTCAATTGTCAGTAATAATGTCAAGCTTTCTAACACTTTTAGAAAGCAATCTGTCACTGCATTTTAAAAGTTATAAATATGTTTAAACACTTTTATCCAATAATAACTTTCCTAAGGAGTAAACATCCCCCCAAAAAAGTCACAAGGTATTCACTACAGTTTTATTCATGATAATAAAAACTAGAAACAGCGTCCTCTTTGTAGGGGGTTGATTAAACAAAATTATGGTCAACCAATTTAATGTAATATTATTTAATGATCAAAAGAGTAATCATTAAAAATGAAAAAGTGAACATTTTGAAGGTGTATTAAGTAAAAAAATTCAGAACAAAAAATTTCGACTATGCTTACACCAATGTACATGATTTTGGCTATTGCTTAAAAGGCAAATTAAAACATAGAAATAATAAAGAATAATACTTGTGGTTCCACATACTTTGATTATTGCTGATTTTATATGTCTGTGCAATACAATTTTTTTCACTATAATACAGGAAGCACATAGTAAGTAAAACCAAATGACGCTAAAATGGTTTTACAAGATCAGTTAAAACTATAGATATTATAGTGAAGATGAATTTTCTAAATAGACCCTTTCCTCAAGTGGCCTCTGTGGCTTCTTCTACATGGATTAAACCTCACTACCAGAGTAATCTCTTTAAAGGCAGGCACTCTTTATAACATTTACTAAAGCACCTAGCTCAGTGCCTGGCAAGCATTAGAAGTTTAATAACAACTGAATGAATGACATAAATAATGGTGGATGGAATCATACATAATGTATCTGACGATGTGAAGGGAACAAGTAAACAGCCAGATCACTTAACTTTTGAAAATGATGTCTCAAGTATGTGACTATTTTAAGAAAAATTCTGTTTTGTTCTACATTTTGGGGTATATAGCTGACTTCATTTCACTTTTCACATTGTATAAAGACAGTAAGAATAGAAACTTTGGGGGAAATTTTATTTGCTTTATGAGAATATTTTATCTTTTCAGAAAATTCAATATTGAGAATCACTCCACCAGATATTTTCCTACTCAGCTGATCTACTAATAAAATATACTTATAATAAAATAACTATTGATACCATTCTAACAATTGTTTAGTTAAAACATTGCATGTTGTTTTAGTTTCCTGGGACTGTCATCAAAAAGTACCATAAACTTTTGGTGGCTTAGAACAAGAGAAATTTATTCTCTCACAGCTCTGAAGGCAAGAAGGCCCAAATGAAATCTTTGGCAGGTCCATGCGCTCTCTGGAGGCTCTGGAAAAGATGTTTCTTTGTTTCTTCCTAGTGTTTCTGGTGTTGGCTGACAATCCTTGCACCCTTGATGTGGGTGCATCACTCCAAACTCTGCCTCTATTGTGGCATGGCATTCTCCCTGACTATCTCTTCACATGGCCTTCTTCTGTGTGTGGGTGTTTCAGTGTCCAAAGTACTCGCCTCTTATAAGTACACGAGCCATTGGTTTAGGTCCCACTCTAATCCAGGAATATTCATCTTAACTTGATTATATCTGGGAAGACTCTATTTGAAAATATGGTCACATTCACAGGTAAGAGGGTTAAAACTGGAGCATACCATTCAGGGGACACAATTCAACCCATACATAGCTCATAGAGAGTTATCACACCGAAATTGATTTTAAGATGGGATCAAGGTTTCAATGTAATATTTCCCAAAAGGATATATAAGGTTTGATTAAGAATACCGATCATTAGAAAGCAAATGATCATTGTCTAGAGCAGCCATACCAGGGCACTGGTGATAACTCAAATGAAATTAAAAGTAAGACTTCGGGAATGATATAGGAGCATAAGAGAATTAAGCAAAAACTAGTATCTTTTGGTAAACTACCAGTTCAGAAACTATTTAATGTTGCAGTTGGGGAACTATTCGCATCAATGTTCCATGTTACAACATAATACATTGCTTTATATTTCCTTAAAATTGAGATTAATTGTTACTTAGTTTAACATTTTTATTGTAACATGAATTTCTTTCTTTGCCAAACACACTAAGGTACTAAAATATTATGAGCCTAGTGATTTTATATTATTGAACCAAGTAAAACTACCGAGGCTAATTACAGACATGGTTTTATTTTACATCATAATTTTGCAACGGTTGTTATGTTAAATCCTTTAACATTTAGTTTTCACAAATATATGAGAAAAAAACGAGAACACTCTTCAAATCAAGTAAGAGAAGTATTACCTCATAATAAAGATATAAAATTAAGGAATAACAGTAACCTCATGCTGTTTTATGAGGCAATAATCTAGTTTCCAGCTCTATTTCAAGGCCATTCTCCAGAAAAAGTGAGTTTAAAACAGGAATAATAGCAACTTCATCCATTCCCTGTTAATTTCTTCTGCGGTTAGGTTTTTAATATACAGAAAACTGATTGTATCCTTTTCTTTAACTCGGCTCTACAAGTGAGCTGTAAACTCCTATCTCTTAGAAAATTAGGATAAAAATCAATGATTCTAATTTAAATATAGAATGAGATTTATATGTCAAAATTTGAAAACAATTCTCAGGAATGTAATGAGGTACTTAGGCTTGGCCCAGGGGGTAGAGATAGCAAAGGACCCTGTGACTTAAAGAAGAGAAGTTTGTGGAGTCTGTGTGATGTAGCCTAATTCTCCATCTTTCTATTCAGACCTTCCATAAAAAGACTTCCCAGACATGCTTTACTCTGGCTGAATAAATGTGAATATGAAGGGGGAAGCTCTCCGTGCCAGGGCTGGCATGGGACGAGGACAGAAGCTGCACGTGGACTACTGCACCTCCCCCTGGATTATGTACACAAATGGCATGGCCTCCCACTGCCCATGAAAGCCAGACATCTGGGCTTTGGGACAGGCTCCTTGCCCACTCCTCTCCACATTCGATGAGTTACCAAGTCATATCAACACCTCCCAGAGTTCGCTCAAGTCTCCCCATGTGTCACTCCTCACTGCTCCAGCGGTAGGTCAAGCCATCGTCGTCCTCTGCCTGGACTGGGGCGGCAGCATCCTAAGGGACACCTTCCCTTCAGTCCTGCTCCCTGAACCTCATTTGTCACAATGCAGCCAGAGTGACAGTTTCCAAATACATATCTGATTGTGTTCTCCTAAAACAATGCAGAGCTTCACCGCATCCATAGAATAAACCAGAAATTCTTTAGTCAGTTCCACTTGCAGCTGTGACAGTCCCTAGTAGAATACCCCTCTGCCAAAATGACCCATCCACGGCAACCGGTATTTGGGTGTTTCGCTCCCTGGGGCCACTGTCCAAAGTGGGAGTCTGAGAGAGACCTCCGCCTTCCTTCTTCCCCAGCCACTGTCCCACTGTCCTTGCCATTCCCATGTCCTTTCATTATCATCAGAGTGCCTTGGAGCCAAAGGCTGGGAACTGCGCAGGGATCTCCTGTGAGGGCCGTGCCAACAGGAGGTTACGCTTGCCTCTTGCTGCGGTGCAAAGGAAACAGGAGGGGGGAGAGGCTACATTCCCCCACCCATGTTCAAAATGCCTAGTGTCCCT